ACACACACACACACACAGTGTCGTCCAGCAGGTTGTGACATGCCAGCTAGTTAACTGGAGAATGCAAAGAATAAAATAATGATTGAAGGAAAGTTGAAAGCCTCCAGTTTGTCAGGTTCTGGAGGATTTTGGGGTTTAGCTGATTGGTGAAGATTTGGGGTTTTTGTTCTTTGAGGGTTTGTCTGCTTTTTATCAGTGTGCTGCACCCATAAAGGCAGTCAGTTTTGATCTAACGTCAGCCTTTTATTTGCTGGTTGTCATTTGGCCCTAGTAACCTGAATACAGTGTGAGAGTGTGAAGACTCAAGACTGACTGGTTTCAAGATGTTTCATCTGTGTGTGATGTTTGGCTCACTAGGCCGTGGCCTCATTTGGGACTTTCTCATCCGCTGGCTTACCCTTGTCTGGGATAAAATATACAAAGGTTGGGGGGGTAGACGACACACGCTTCAGCTTATAAGAGAGTGAAAGAAAAGATAAAATCATCACATTTTAGTAATTGTGATTGTGCATTTGAAAATGCTTTGTTTTGAAAAGAAAGCAATGTTAAAGTTGTTGGCAAGTTTTTTTTTTATTATTATTATTTTTATGTTCTGTTTTTAGTTCAATTTCAGTTTGCACAACAAAAACAATTTACATTCTGATTATGACATATATTTTATAATTTTGTGGGGCCAAGGAAAAAAAAGATAAAAAACCTATAGTAATCAAAGCCTTCAGTATCTACACATATTTAGAGAGATATCCAATAAAATGGTCAAATTGGTGAGAAGTTTGGTTACTTCCTTTCTTCTTCCTCAGTGTTTCACTCTGTATGGTGTCCAGCCTACTTGCATGTTGGTTGTATTCACACAATACGTCTTTTGGCTACCTATGACAGAGTTAACGAACTGCTTTAGTTTTACTTCAGGCCACTGTTCCAAATAATAGTTTTACTCAGTTATCTGAAGTTTGCTAATTAAAACCAAGAAAGGGGTCCAGAGTTGAGGTATTTCCTGGTTTCTGGACCAAAGAACGGGTCCAGAACTTGTTAGTTGTCATGTAACTTGGTACGATGTAGGTATACTACTACATGTATCTAATTATTGGTCATAAACAGTAACAATAGCCACACACTGACCAGAAAAAAGTCTTTTGTAAAGTAAGTTGTATTTTGTGTGCTGTCCCGGAGGTGCACATTGTTCACATTAGATTAAAGTACTGTCATTAGATGACGCAACACCTCCTTGGTTGCCAACTTTGAGAATTCTTCCTCTGTTGTGACTCTCACCCATGGCTAGTGCACTCTGCGTCAGCATGGAAACCGAGCACGCAGTTCAGAGTTCGGGATTGTGTCACAGCGAAGAAGACAGCAAAGCTCTGTTGAATGCAGAGGTCGGTGACTCATCGGTACACCCACAACGGCCACTGCTTCAGAATGCCAAGTGGCACTTGTGTGATGCTTTCCCTCATTAGGCGAGATCAAAACCAACCAGGGAAATGTTTCATTTTCTCCCTAATGTCCTTTATAAAGCTCTGTGCAGACTCCCATCTGGCAAACAGAAGTCACAGTGTCGAGGGGCTCATAGTTCACCTGCCCTTCGACCCCTGCCTCCACCCTAACACACAGCTGGGCCTTGTCACATTTCTCTGCTGCCACGCTTTGCTTCTGAGTGACAATGCAGTCTCTTCTTTTGTAAACCACTCTGTAGCAGCATACTGATATCTACCGAGCACACAAATCTTATCATTTTGTCATTGGGGTGTTTACAAGACAAATGCAACAACAGTAGGGAGCACATTGGCGTTCATGTGTATGGTACACTGCACTTGCTTAGCAAGTGCTTGTGTGTTTTGAGAGGCCTTTGTACCCTACAGAGCAGATAAAAGGCACAAGCATTCGTTCAGTAGTATCACACGGACGAGGAAGTCTCACACTGACTGCTGCAATCTGTAAAGCAGACATGCCATTGCTCGTGAATTCCTAGAAACCAGAGACATGAGGAGTACATCATGAATTTATCTTGGTAAGGTGTATAGTATTGTTTAGGCTTGTTCTTCGGCAATAACCAACCGCAAATTGTCATGATGTTGAAATCAGTCAGACACTTACATCTAGATGTGTTTTGTGTCCTATCTTGACATTGTATTCAAAATAATTTTACAATCACGGCAAATATTGCTTGACCAAAAATAATTCTCTGTAGTTTTTTCCTATTTTGCTTTTATGAAGCTTCAGACTCTTGTTTGATTACTGGTGAATTATTAGCAGAGGTGCAAGTACGTTCAGGTTCATGTGTAACATAGCCTGGGACTGCAGTGTTTGTAACTGTTTGTAGCTGACTGAAATGCTTGAAAATCTGGCAATTCCTGCCAAGTTCTAGCTAAAAGATGTTCCTTTTATCCACTTTTTAGCTCCGCGTCAGAGCTGAATACAAGCGAAGAAGCTCTGTTGCAGGCTGGTCTTTCTGGTCGTCCATTTCACTCCCTCCCACACGACCCAAATTTGGCTGCAACCCTAGCCATTCTGGGAGCACCCTGGGTGATGTCACAGGCTCCAATGGAGAGGCCCCGGCCTTTTTCCGAGATCAGGTGTCTGAGCCTTTTGTGTGTCTGTCGTGAGCTCCTTGGTGCCGCACAGTGTTGCAGCTCTCTGCACGCTGATCCTCGATCAGGTCACTCTGTCATTAACTTCAGTGACAAACTGATAAGAGTGATACAGAGCAAGATTAACTTGCTTGCTTTTCATCCCCAGCAATTAGCTTCAAATGCTGACTGTGGATGAAATATACATAATGATGATGGAAATATTTTACTGACCTCCAGTGGATTCATTGTGGCTTTTATAACAGATCTCTTGTAGGTTTTTTTAGCCACTTAATGCTGTTCCCAACAGAATTTAAATGAGTTTCAACCCTCTGTTGAGTGTTGTACATCCCTTTTTGTACAGTCGTTCAATGCGAGTACAAGGGTGTTGCTTTTAATGTCAGCATTAACCTGCTAGTTATTGGGAGAATTTGAATAAGAGGAATTTGGGGACTTACATTTATTGAAAATGTACCGAAATTCCTCCTGTTTCTAATCCTGTTGTGACTGCTGATGAGCACGCTAGATAACTGGACCAGCTGATGCATAGCTTTATTCTGTGTCTGGGCAACGCTTGAATCAGATGTTAATTTTAGACATCTGGAGAGGGTAATTCATTGCTAATTGACTGCTAATGATCAGGCTGTGACAGTGAATATGTTGTAGAGCTGCAACGATTAGTCGTTTAATCGATTCGTTGTCAACTAATAACCAACTATTTTAATAACCGATTAATTGTTGTGAATCATTTTAATTTAATTATAAAATATGAATATGTTCTAGTTTCTTTTGTCGATAATGAAAAATAACCGTTAGTTGCAGCCCTACTGTGCTGCAGTGGGTTATTTTACAGTCATTAAGCTGCCATACATTAGTGCTGAGTGGCTTTTTAAATAAGCTTTCCGTTTGTAGCACTGCAGCTAGAAATGTGGGCGGCTTTGATTTTAACACTGGCTGTGGTTTGCCTCAGTCACAGCTTGCAAAATGTTGTGGCATAAGCAGAATTTGAGGACACGTATTATCATCCCTGCTCTTTTCTAGCACATCCATGCATGTCTGGTGATGTGCAGTATGTTTTTGTATTTTCTCTTTTCAAATTTTGGTAAAGATCTTCAGTTGAGGTCTGGTGAAGGCAATACTATCAGCACTACGTGTTGTTTTGATGTCAAACAGACTTGGCACAACCTAGACAAGATTAAACCATGTTGCTCACACTTTTTCCATGTGTAGCTGATTCAGTACAGGTTATGAACTCCAGAATAAGACACACTGTCACACCTAAATATTTCCACTCACATGTTTTCACTGTAATTTTGGCATTACATGTGAGCTTATTGCAACTGTTAAGTTTCAACTTTGATTCATCTGTAAACATTGATTTCTTCCAGCCTTTAAAAGTGACAGCTTTGGTACTTTGGCTCCTGCTAAACATCTCAACACAACTTGAAAAACTGTCTTGGGAAAAGCAACTTTGCCATTAAGGGTGCTGTTTGCCAGTATTCGTAGTACTATATTTTCACTACCTGGACTAGAACACTTCCTTTTAAAAAAAGTGTTGGACAATTGACAGTATAGAGAGAGACAGGCTGGAAACACAGGGAGAGAGGGGTATAGAGAGAGGGAACTTGGGCTCTTTTTGTTGAGATAGCTTTGCATCACAGATACACATGCTTGTTTCATAAATATTTTAGTTTGACATACTAATCTTCAAAATGTGTGGTGCGCCTGATTTCACACTGATTGAATCTGACTCATATTTATACTAGTACTGATAATTTAAAGCAGCACCAGAGACAATAAAGCAGCAACATATTCACTGACTAAGTATCACTTTGTATTAGACTTCTTAACATTTTTGTAAAAGATCTAGATATTCTGTCAGTTCTGAACTATGTTTTCTTGAATGGTGTCTGTTGAGAAAAAACATTTGATAACTTGATAGTGGACTTAACAATAACAAAATGTTGTGTGTGTGTGTGCACAGCGCTAACAGTACATCCTACCTCTTGCTTTTCCTTCAGGCTGCTGGAGACAGACAGCAAGTCGCTACGCTCAATGAATGGCTCCAGGCGAAACAGTGGCTCCTCCCTGGTGTCCAGCTCCTCCGCCTCCTCCAACCTCTCCCACCTGGAGGAAGACTCGTGGATCCTGTGGGGACGAATCGTCAATGAGTGGGAGGACGTGCGCAAGAAAAAGGAGAAGCAGCTTAAGGTGAGACGAGTGCCCATAACTACCTGTGTGAAGTGTCAGCAGAGTCTCGTGCAGACCTGCTTAAGAGCTTACCAATACTGTATTAAGAGCTTACTGAGACACATTTGACCCAGCATCTACTGAAGACAATTTTTGTCTGCATTTTAATAACTGCCCATCTGACAAGAACAACAGTATTCAAGGTTCCAAAGAAAGAGACAGGAGCTCCAATGATTCTGTTTCTGCATGTAAACGTCTTTAAACTTGATGAAAAAGCTACACAGTCGCTCTTGTAATACATGTGTGTTTCACAGGTATTTGTATCAATCTCTGGCCCAAATGCTACAATGGTCCTATCTGTTTGAATGTTTACTTGGTCCAGAAATAATTTCCAAGGCTATCTTTGTCCCTGGTGACCCTGTAGTGTTGTCATTGAACTTGTTATTTTAGTTCTTGACATTTGAAGCTAATTTTAGGTTGCTTGTTTCTACAGTTACTCTCTGAAGTCCTGTGATAACCCTATAACCCAGTCACTGTCAAAGGCAGTTTGATTTAACCTGCACATGTACTGTGGAAATGTGTGTAAACACAATGACCAGAAAATAGAAAACCCTCTTCAGGACTTTGGATAACATTGTGATAACAGGCCCAGGTCATGGCAGTGACTCGGCAAGTAAGCTGTAGTTTCCTATGTTCAGCTGTTTGGTGCAACTGCAAATGTTTGAAGGTGTTATTAAGGTCATGTCACCTGAATGCTTCTCAAACCATTACTTCATGAGTCTTGCGCAATAACAGGGAGCACGTTCTCAGTTCATTCATTGTTCAGATTTGAAATTGCAGCCCATCTGCTCTCCAGTCATGGTGACACCCGAAAGCAGCACCCATGATCAGGCCTTTCTCACAGTCCCATTTAAAGCACTTTTTTATCTGTAATGCGTGGATATGGAGTTGCTGTTGCATGACCCTGATGAAGCTGCACATATGCAAATGAGACCCAACATCTTCTGCATGGGCAGGGTTTCTGTTTTTCTTGCCACTGTGTGTAAATGGGGAAGTGTTGCGAAGGACCTGTGAACATGCATGGGTGTTGTTATGTAATTTCCCACAAGTAGTAATAACCAGATGGCTGGCGCTAGGATATTAATCATAACTGCTGAGGCCTCCACAAATGTGATGTTTTCTTCCCCTTGGCTTACAGAGAAACGTTTCTGTTGCATGAAGGAAGGAACTTTGACTTTTCTGTCCTTGTCAGCAAAACCCCTGATGTGTTCATGTTTTCTATTTTTTTAAGAACCCACTACTGCCCTACTGATGTACATGATATCGATGTTGGAGCCTGTCACCAAGCATTAGTGTAAAGTGGTGGTGCGCCTCAGAAAGCAGCTTTCGCTCAGATACAGTCAAGATATGAGACGGTGCTTTGTTCCAACACAAAGCTTGGTTTGTCTTGTGTAACCTCTGAGAGGGAAGAGGGATCCCCTGCTGAAAGCCTGTGTGGGTGGACCTCTGCTCCAGATGCACCCTGGATTGACCAGATGCACACACAGACAATCCCTTCACAGCAGGAAAGACCAGTGTTCCCTGTCAGCACAGGAAATTGCTTAATCAAATTGTATCAGCAGTAATATGGAAACAAATCACAGTAAAAAAGTGCCTCACTGACAAGATCATAGTTGGCAGTGGAAATTGTATTATTATTAGATGCACACTGTGCTAAAATGGGAAAATAAATACTAGAGCACAAAACATGACCGTGGCTCCATCCCAGGGTCTGTTCTTTTTCTCCACAGGAAGCCGATGTATTTTATTACTTACTTTCTTTTGTTTACATTCAACACAGTCCCAAATTCCTATTTTAAATTCTCATAAATGTCATTAAAATAAAGGTAGATTAATATTCATTTCTCAGAGTATCTGTTCTTTTCTTGTTCCACAGGATCTTGTCAGAAAAGGGGTTCCCCACCACTTTCGGGCAATAGTATGGCAGCTGTTGTGCAATGCCCAGAATATGCCCATCAAGGATCAATACTCCGAACTACTGAAGATGACGTCACCCTGCGAGAAGCTGATTCGCAGAGACATCGCCCGCACTTATCCTGAACATGAATTCTTCAAAGAGAAAGACAGTTTGGGCCAGGAAGTGCTCTTCAACGTCATGAAGGTAAGTCCTGCGTTTCATGAACCTGATTGTGTACAGATAAGAAATAAAAAAGGGATTTAACAGTAGTTTCAGGGTAAAAACTGTAACTGGAGTGTGTACAGGTTTGACTCTTGCAGAGACTGTGCTCTTGACCATCACTCATTCCAAGCTAATCACTGTTACCTCAGGCATATTCTCTGGTTGACCGTGAAGTTGGCTACTGTCAAGGGAGTGCTTTCATTGTAGGACTGCTACTCATGCAGGTAATAATCCCATTTTCACCACACACGTATACAAACACTGATTCACCAGCTTCCTGCAAATAGTTTGGCATGTTTTACTGAATAACAGACCGATTTGAGGTTTGATGTCATCCTGTTATTTTTCTAGATGCCAGAAGAGGAGGCTTTCTGTGTGTTTGTCAAGTTGATGCAAGACTACAGATTACGAGAGCTCTTCAAACCCAGTATGGCTGAGCTGGGACTCTGCATGTACCAGTTTGAGTGTATGATCCAGGTAGAGGCCTCATTGTTGGCAGTGAGACTGCTGCAATGGATTGTCAAAATGTAGTCATCTTACAGTGGTAATGGTGTGAATCCGTATGATATATTTTCTCCTCACAGGAGCAACTCCCGGAGCTGCATATACATTTCCAGGCTCAGAGCTTTCACACTTCCATGTACGCCTCCTCCTGGTTCCTCACCATCTTCCTCACCTCCTTCCCTCTGCCCGTTGCCACAAGGATCTTCGACATCTTCATGTGTGAGGTTAGTTAACAGGGAACTGTAGTTCAGTTCAGCTCAGGAGCTATCACCTGCTTTGAATGGCATCCTGTATTTAGGTACATGTATCAAGAATCAGTATATTTGTCATTCTATTTATTTAGCTTGCATTTTGTAAAAGAGATACTCTCAGGCATCTGTCTTTGACTTGCACTTGTTTACTTTAGCTTGCGTCTAATGTTTGTGATCTATAGTTGAACAGTGTCCTGATGTTGCACTCACTGTATGTCACTGAGGCTAGTAGTCTCAGACCAGAAGTCTAAAGTGCAGATGTGAAACACCATTGAGCCCTTACATTGAAGTGTTTTCACAGAAAAGATGTAAGGTAAAGATTTCTTCTGCTGCTTTAAGAATGATTACATTACATATATAATACAGACGAAATGAAAACTGTTAAGAAAAGGTTATCCATTAACGCCACCTGCTGGAGAAAACAAACACTACAGTCCACATTAAATAGTTACTGTGAGTTGTTTCATCACTCCCCCTGTTTAATTCTCATTCCACTTTAAAATACATTTCACAGCATACTAGCCGTCATTTATTCTTTCAAAACCTAAAACTACTACCACTAGACTACTGGTGATCTCTTTCTTCAGGGTCTGGAGATAGTCTTTCGTGTGGGACTGGCCATTCTTCAGATGAACCAGACTGAACTAATCCAGCTTGACATGGAGGGAATGTTACAGGTATATCACATCCACATTAACTTGTCAGCTCAGATTTCTGGTGCAAGATGTGCAGAACCCTCAACAGAGGAATCTCTACCACACCCAGATAATTGATACATGTGCCCTCCTAGCCTGTACCTGTGTACATGCCGACATTTGATGTAGTGCTTCTGAGGTCAGAGAAACACCTGACTAAGACATCAGGGTGCATAGTTGTTTGAAAGCAGCTGTGTGGCACTTATCCTGCTTCTGTTTCCTTACTGCACTCCAGCACTTTCAGAGGGTCATCCCACACCAGCTCGACAGTGGACCAGATAAGGTCATCCAGGCTGCTTATCAAGTTAAATACAACGCCAAGAAGATGAAAAAGTAAGCATAACTATCAACACCTACTAACCTCTCTTTTTGTTGATGCATTGATCAAAGACCCTGGAAATGTAGACGCACTCTTTAATATTCTGGGTTTCCACTTAGCACTTTGAACTTTTCTGTAACTATTTCATAACATCTGTGATTTCAATTAATTGTATGGCAACCTCTACTGATTGGGATGTTGAGAATTAGTATGTAAGACTTGTAAGAATTAATATAATTATTATATAAGATTTATAAATATATTTAGAATTAATTAAAGTTGGGGTGCCTGGAAAGGCCCAAAAAAATTATTATATATATATATATATATATATATATACACACACACACACACACACACACACACACACACATATATATATATAATTATTATATATATATATATATTTACCATGTATGTAAAAAAATTAAATTAAAGTTAATGAAGGCTACAAAACCTTTAAATGTTAAGCTTTTTATATTATCCGTGAGTACAGTTTGCTAGGTAGTTTATATCATAAACTTAGTTTAATCCTCTATGGCCTAAAATCGCACTTAAATGGAATTAATTCATTGAAAGTTAGTTTATCACTGGGAGTCCCCGGCTGGCAGGTTGCAGGGATGTTTCCAGATCGTGGTTTGTGTGTTGTGCAGTACTGAAACCCTCAGGCTGACCATTTCAAGATCATGCGGTGTGGTAGAACTGACAATATTTAAAAAAAATCTCAAAAATATTGGCAGGCGAGGAACAGGAATCTCTTACAGAATGTTTATGCTATTTGGCCCACTTTTTGTGCTTCTATTTTTTTCAGTACCTTGGACCATGCTCGACACATTTTATTACTACTTCATTTTCTTGATTTTCTTTGTGTTTTATTTTCAGGTTAGAGAAAGAATACACTACAATCAAAACTAAAGAGATGGAGGAGCAGGTGGAGATAAAGGTGTGTGCAGATTGTTTCTTTAGTGTTTAAAAGTCCTGAAGGCTCAAATATGCGTATTTATTTTCGTCTGATTCTGTAACCTGTTGTTCTGCAGAGGCTGCGGACAGAGAACAGGCTCCTGAAGCAGAGGATAGACACACTAGAGAAAGTAAGTGCATGAGAGTTTGCCACAGGTGCTCCGTCACCAGACAAACCAATCAGACACCGCTCCCTGCTCATCAACATTACATTAACCCACCCAGCTGTGTATGCTCATACATCATGCATCTCCTCCTAATGATGGAGTCTTGTCTTTCACTAACTGCGCTGTGTTAGTTGAAAGTCGGCCATTTACATGATAAACCATCGCTGGTTGACTGGTACTGTATGGTGAACTTTCTGATTGTAGATAAAGTCACTATCAGAAACAGAAGCTGGATTTGGTCTTCAGGTTGTCTTGGTGTCACGGTGACTGTCTGTGTGGCTCGTATAATCTCTTGTAGTGAATTTTAAAATTCACCCGACACCACTAACTGAAGCAAAGACTGTAACAAGCCTGTTTGGAATGTGAAAGTGGCTGCTTGATGCTGTTCAAGTCGATACAAAGCACTGCATGCCAACTTTGCACCATTTGTATCATTCTGCACCTCTTTGTGTCATTTGGAATGGGCACTAATGCTGCCAGGTAAAGGCACCATGCATGAGGTCTGCCATGGATAGCAAGGGTGTCCGCTCCACCACATTTGCCTGCAGGGTGGAACACTGTGGTCTAATTGAGTCCGTTATTTAAAACCAGCTGGAGGCTGCTGCTCTCTGACCCGTCCTTGTCACGTAACTCCCAGAACCTTTTTAACTCTTCATTAACTGGAACTGTTCAAAAGCTTGGATGAACCTCCGCTTCTCTTTAGATACACACACAGCTCTGTCATTGTGCTGCTGCTGCACCATACTTCACTCTCTGCTAGAACCAGAGCTGTCCTGTGCTTCTTCCTGTCTGAAACCTGTCACTGTGTTATCAGCACCGCCTGTTTTTCAGTGTCAACAGCTTATGTGCACCTTTTTCACCACACCTGCATGCAATGTTCTTTTTCTACCCCTGAATGTAAACAATCTGTAAACAAATATTTCTGGAGGGGAAATGAACATTGCATTTCTTCTCAAACAATCAGTTGTTCTTGTGTGTGCTTTAAACTGTCCTCTGGATTGTCTCTCTGCTGTCTCTTGTTGATGTTTCTGTTTTGTAGGAAAGTGCTTCCTTGGCAGATAGATTGATCCAGGTATATCCCTCATTTTCTCTTTACCCTAATTTTGTTGCACATTCCTTCTTCTTTCTCTCTCTTTAGTATTGCATGCTTATGATTAGCACAATGAAGGACAGTTATAATGCGGGATCAAATAAACAGATGATTCTCTGAATTAATATCTAAACCAGATTATAACTGATTACAGTGTTGGATAAGTGCATGAAATACCACATTGTGGCAGACCAAGTGAGAGAATCACAAATCATGCTGATGAAAGCTAAGGATTTAAATAGATATCACACATTGCTAGAACTAAAACAAGCATGTCCTTAGAAAACCCAATCCCTCATCTTCACCTCTGATTTGCCCACCCATTCCGCCCTCTCGTTTTCACTTGTTGTCGTGCTCACTCCACCCCTCCTCGGTTGGTTATGTCCCAAGGGACAAGTGACCCGAGCTCAGGAGGCAGAGGAGAACTACCTGGTCAAGCGGGAGTTGGCCACAGTCAAACAGCAGAGCGAGGAGGCCATTGCTGAGCTGGAGCAGGCCAAGAAAACCATCAGGCAGCTCCAGCAACAGCAGCCACAGCAGCAGCCACACGCGGTAAGGAGGGCCACAGAGTCCCCGGCTGGCAGGTTGCACTGGCTCAGGTCCTGCCCTGACAGGGACTGGGATGTTTCCCAGATCGGTTTGTGTGTTGTGCAGTACTGAAACCTCAGGCTGACCATTTCAAGATCATGCGGTGTGGTAGAACTGACACCTGGGCCAGTAAAAATGTGTATCATTACAGTTGAGATGTATCACGGTTATCTGCACCCCCCCGCCACCGCCCAGTTGGCACATATTCCCTAGCAACAAGATCCAAGCAGTGGCAGAGCAGGGCTTTTCTCACTTTGCACATCGGCTTTAATGATCTGTTTTGGCATGCATGAATTCAAATTGGGACACGGAGCACTACACAGTTCAGCCACCATTTACAGTCTTCTGCATTCTCCGAAATGCATTCATGAATTTGTAAGCAGTTGTCTCACAGGCTGGTAGATTTCACACACTACCCTGTTCACAGAATCCTCTTGCTGCATATCTATTGACCTAACATTCTCAATTATTGATGGCTGGATTCCAGATGATCATGTGCTGGCATTACATTGTTTTACATAATTTGCTATCTTGCTTCACAATGAGCCTCCATGAATAATTAATGTGACAGTGAAAGGCAAAATGGTTGATGTCAGCTGAAATGAAGGTTGAATTCAAGAGGCACTGAGGTGTATTTTCTTCCAAGAGAATAAATATGATTTTAGCTGAGCCTATTTTACATTACAGCAGGTTGAAATTTAGTTCTTCATTAAATTCCAACCTTGAGGACACACAGGCATCTACGTTTGTAGCCCTGCTTTCACGCACATGTCCTGTTGTAGAAGGGAGCCCCACGGTACTCTGAGGAGTCTGTCCTGCAGCTGGAGAGAGAGCTGGTGCAGGCCCGGCTGAAGGAGGCAGAGTCTCAGTGTGCCCTCAAGGAGATGCAAGACAAGATCCTGGATATGGAGAAGGTGTGTTGATTCAGACATGATGCACTGCTTAAATCTTAGCCAACACACAATATTACTATATGACCCAACTATACGACTGTACCCACCTTCCTTAGAGGAACACATCTCTACCGGATGACACAAATGTGGCGCGTCTTCAAGAGGAGCTGATAGGGGTGAAGCTGAGAGAGGCGGAGGCTCTGACTGGCCTGAAAGAACTGAGGCAGCAAGTCAGAGACCTGGAAGAGCACTGGCAGGTGAGCACACAGGACTTTTTAATCAACACGTTATCTTTGTTGCAAATTTTTTGCAAAACGTGATGGAAAGACTACCGCCTCTCCTCAGCGCCACTTGGCACGCACCGCTGGTCGCTGGAAAGACAGCCCCAGGAAGAACACCGTGAGCGAGCTGCAGGACGAGCTGATGAGTGTGAGGCTGCGTGAGGCCGAGGTCCAGGCAGAGCTGCGCGAGACGCGACAGAGGATGCTGGAGATGGAGACACAGGTCAGAGGTCACATCAGCTGTCTGACCACATAAGGCTGTGTGCTGCAAATTCTTTGTTTTCTGTCCTTATAATGCCATTAATCATAGGAAATCAAAGGTATACAGTAGTATGGGGTAAGGTGGATCTAAATGAGCTTCAAGTGTGGTCTTTACCTGCATTTTCATATGTATCCTTCAGAGGGCAGCAGTCATCTGTTCTAAACACCTCAGAAACTTGCATGTAAAGCAGTGCAGGCAATTCTCATCATCCAGTTTTAACACTCAATTTCTTTTGGATTTAATTGATCATTTAAAATAAGATGTTGTTTTTTTTCTTCAATGTACCACTTGTTTTCCGAAACAGAATCAGATTCACAGTAACCAGCTGCGACGGGCCGAGCAGGAGAGTCGCTGTCTGCAGGAGTGTGTGCAAACACTGACGGTGCAAAATAAAGACCTGCATGTGCAACTCCAAGAGATCAAGCGGAGACAAGCTGAGATTGAATGCAAGGTACAACTCTGTGCATGGGGACAAGCCCGCTCTGCTGTGGCATAATGTAAATAAAATAAAAAAATATAGTAGTATATATTGTTAACATGTAAAATTGATGAGGTCAATATCCAGATCCAGAAAGAGGAAATGCGTTTTTCATGTAATGTGTGTGCTGATGCTGTTAGATTTCTGTTAATCTGCTCTTTATAGCGCATTAACACTGACAATCTGTCAGGAATTTCCCTCTGAAAGATTCACACATACACAAATAGAAATTACACAAATGTTTAGCACATGTTTTTACCGTATTGGCATCACACCTACTGGGGCTTCGGTAGAACTATCAGTAACGTCATTCTGTTGTTCTGCAGAGTAAGGAAGAGGTGATGGCAGTGAGACTGCGGGAAGCTGACAACATTGCTGCTATGGCTGAACTCCAGCAACAGATCTCAGAGCTTGAGATTCAGGTAAAGTCCCAACACACACTCCTCTCTATGATTGTCTGTAACATCACACCCCTGCCTCTGCATCAAGCTTTGGATTTCCTCAACGCCTTCGCAAACCACGTTTAACCACAAATTTAATTCCTTCAGACATAGAGGGATTTTTATTCTTATTTTCATTGATGTGAGGAAGACAGCTTGGTTGATCAGTGTGTTTCTCGTCTTACTTTTAACAACAGGCTGCCAAGTTTGAACTATCATGAATATTTTACATGATGACTTTCTGTACTTGTGGTTAAGTCTGAGCTCTTCTCACTAGTTGAGATATGAAAGAGGCAGGGCTCTGATGGGGGAAAAAAAAGCTGAGATCACACACACATTTCCATCTACCAATCAGAATTTTACAAAATCTGAATGTGATAGATGTGTTGTTTGCTTGTTGCCATGGAGACACCACTGTCAATAAAATCTGATCAAACCGCATCCACGCAGTCCTGGTGACGCAGATTAGCTGAGTTATTTCACTTTTTTTTTCCCCTTATTTTGACTTTGTGAAGAGTATTTAGATTTTGAATATGCAGAGAAACAGCTAATATTTGAAAGCAAGTTTTCAGGTGCTTTAATGCACAGGCAGCTAATGAGATGTGTAAAGGAGAACAGGAAATCAGTCACTCGGACTCTGCCAAGTGTATTTACTGTGGCCGGAGCCCAAAACTTCACTGATGACATTTAACAAAGCATATAAACTTAGTCCCTGTATGAACCAGTCTCAACAAGTGCAAGTGAAGAATCCAGTATTTATCCCCAAACAAATGTAACGCTACACACAACAAGGGTGACCAAAACAAATGCAGGCCTGTTCTCACACTGCCAGCACTCCACTGTTCTGATTGATAACAGATAAAATAATCTATAAACCAATCATAAGTATTTGTAGGCTTGTTTGTAGGCTCAACACCACACTCTCCATATGAGTCAAGCTATATTATGAACAGTGAGTGTGGCGACATATACTGCTATTGTGTGTAAACAGGCTATAGGGGATGAATGTGAATCTTTTATACATTTTAAATTGCAATGGAATAATAATGTGTCTGATGATGCTTGTGTTTATAATATAATCAGGAGTTAAGGCTTTAAACACCTGACATAAGATTTAAGTCTGTTGTGGTTTCTGTTCTTGTAAACGGTTGGTTGTAAACTGGGTTGACTTTACACTTAAAGCTGGACATGAGACGTGTCATTGATTTCTGCTTAGTTCCCTTTTTCGAGGCCTATAAATATGTTATCAGAAATCTTTTCTTTTTACATGATGCCTATTTGGATTTGTTTTTAGATGAGGCAATATACTCTGTCACAAAGTAAGTAAGAGTAAGTGTCTCACATACTTGGTATTGAACCCACATATGTGGAACAAAATCTTTAAAAATAGACGACTTATGAGTATAAATCTCAGAAGCAGTGATTGTACTAATAGTACCTCCCTTCCAGTCAGTACTGCAAGTAGCAGAGGTGCGTTTATTGTATGGCTTAACACACTGCAGTGTTTTATTGTAAAATGGAAAGTTTCTTGACACTCAGTGATTAGCACCTTTCAAGTCCTACCACATCTGGACTGGATGAATGTCTCAGCCTCGGCCAGACGGGCCGCTATGTTTACGCTTCTATAGTTCTGATTCCGATAACACTGAGGCGTTTTTGCAGTGAAAAGTCGTCAGCTTCAGTCACTTTGTGTGCCTGTGAGTTACTCATAATATCTGTCAACAACAGTTACATTCAATAAGAAAATCTAATGCAACAAATAAAGCCTATTAAAAAAAAAAAAAAAAAAAACCTAATAAGACCCTCTCGGCTTTCTTTCATTTATATTTATTTCTTTGTCAATGATTGCAGTGAAAAAGGAGACAGAAATACAGATCCCATGTCTCTTATAGGTTGTCTGTTGCAACTCCTTGTCCACTCAGTATGTTACTCTCCATGACAAGAAATATGTGACTGCCTCACAGTGCGGCCATTGTCCTTTTTTACATACGAACTTCAACGTAAATCATGCAACGCGTAGTGTTCTGGCTACCCAAACGGCCCATTTACTTTGGCTGCTCACCATTTAGCTTTGTTGTTTTACACATCAATGCTAGTCAGTGAAAGCTGTTGGAAATCAACCTTGCAGATGGGAAAACTGAACAATGAGCTGAAAAAGTTGCAAAAACCCAGCAGAATTGTAAGTTGATTCTCAGTAGGCATTTGTACTGGAAAATAGTGGTAGACCGCTCTAAGTTTTTTAGTGGTTTTTAATGCCGATGTTTAGAGAGCAAGGCTTCCGATGGCTGATGTATAATGCCGTGAAATGAAAACAAAGAAAAGTCATGTATAATTCCATTATTCCATGCACATTAGAATCTGATATACATGGTTATCTCAGCCAGTAACCTGTTGTTTTAGATGGTATTTTTAAAAATGAATGAAACATAAAAACACATTGCTTCATGCTGTAGATTTCAGCATGTGAGAAGCGAAGGAATTCAACTGTTATTCTAACATAGTATACATATAACACTAGCCAGTAACTGTTTTAGATTTGTAATTTAGGAGAAAGATGTTAACATTCAGAAAAGACGATGGTGACTAAGGAAATTTACAACTTTTTCACCACTTTTCCAAAGCTCGCTCCCCCTTTAGCATGTATAAACAGCACATAAACACTGAATAAATGTTCATAACACTATAATGTAGATTTAAGCAGATATGTTTATTAATGTATTTGTCAACATCTATAACTGCTCATATGGGCACTCATCAGTGGAGGCTGCTGTATAAAAACAATAACACTACAAACACACATTTGTAATAATATATGCCATCCTAGGAGAATTGAACCGAGAAGAATTGTTAACAAATAGTGTTAAAGTAAAGTGTTGCAGATAATGCTTTGGCCCACTTTGGCCCCCTTTGACTTGAGTTACAGACAGGTCTGTTGGAAACAGTTGTGACATTTGCCCAGTATGTTATTTAAAGTACTGCTGTAAATGTATTCCTGAACTTAAGGTGTTTCAGATAATCTAAGCTCAAGGCCTGGACTATTTATAAGTATGACACCTACAAAAAAAAAACCTCCCCCCTTTTCCCCTTCAGAGGCACACATGATCACACAGTGTGGTCTGAGGTTTTGTTACTAAGTGATGGAGCAAAAACATGCAACACCATAAATTTACCACTACCGCCCTCATACCTTTTAGAATCTGCGTAATGAACTCTCATTTGAGTATGTAGTAATATTCAGAAGCCTTATGCTTTAATATTCACCTCATTTTTCTTTTTATTGTATGATTTGCATCTATAAAATGTGTTGAGGAGCAGGCAGGGTAATAAATCTAACTTGTGTCTGAGCCAAAATCACTGTGCCAGTGTTGGCTTCTTGGTCTGTGGTTTGGTTACTTTCTCTATAAGTTGTGGGTGAAAACGGCTTCAATTACAAGAAAATGTAAAAAAAAAAAAATCAGTTTCTTGCCTTGTTCGTCAGAGATGGTGTGACGCATGTTGATGGTGACAGTTTGCAGCTAGCTTTATGATGTGACAGGTCACCATACGATCAGAGTAGCTCTGTCTGAGTCTCAATACTGAGTGTGGAAGACGCAGCATACGCACATATCAAGGAGCCAGTCACTCAGAACATTAAGGTGACGTGTACCTTTATCGTTCTACAGCAACAACGCAGTGATTGAACGAACAGATAGAAATTAACGATAACAACCGCCAAATAATGATGGCAAATGTTGTCACTGAAACTAAGATGTCTAGAAAGGATTGTGTGTAGGACTTTTTCACTACCACAGTCATGGCCTCTGTTTAACGCCACAGCTCCACAGTCTCTGCTGATAGGAAGTGGTTTCTCATCTTGAAGCAGTGACTATACCAAAGGTGATATGCATGGTTTATTTTGAGGTTTCTATGACATGCTCAGAGATTTATACTAAATGTTTTTAGCCAGTTTCATGTGTAATCTGTTTGGAGAAAATGTATCTTTATTATTAATCTCACAGATCTTAAATATGCCAAATGACAACAGTTTAAAATCTCATCATGGCACTTGGAATAGTTAATGTATGCAAATCATACGTGCTCTTAAGTGAGAGGTAGCTAAGTTGATGCACTAAAAGTTTAATCATAGTAAAACATGAATCATACATTGTTTTACACATCCTTTTGTAGATGTCTTGGCAGATAAAATAAGCTATACGTCATTGCCACATCAAGAAACAGACAGTATGAAAATACTGTGAATGCATATGACGCATATTCTAGTGCATTTTGTGGGAATGTCTTTATGAGCTGTGATTTTGCTCACTAGCTCAATATGTGATGTGATGTTTGTGATGATCAAAGGTCGAGAATAGATCAGCTGCTCAGTTCACTGCTGCTGGTGCAGTAAACAAATTGAACTTTTCTGTCATTAGAGGTAGTTGCCCCCCTTCCCCCCTTTCCTTCTAATTCCTCTGCTGTTAGAACTAAAGTTTAACAGACTTTTAGGGTGCTGGAATGTGAGGAAGACGTTTCTGTGAGACGTTTGACGTCCCCGGCCACAGCCTGACACCTGTTGATTCACGCAGCTGAACACGAGGAAGTCCCATTAACTGCCTGCCCATTATCGTTGCAGTGTTTTGGAGCGACGAAACCTCAAAAACAACAGATTCTTGGAATAATCTCACTCTTTTAGACTCCTTTGTGTGAAAAATAACCCTACTGGGACCTGCCATATTCAACCCCACCTTACCACAGGAATCAGAAAACCTATCTATACTTGTGACTTGTGTCACCTCTCTACCTCGACACCCCACCCCTTGCTGCGTGCTGTGTACACATCTTCCCTTTTTTGTCTCGTGTTGTAGCCTGTGGTTTGAAATCCTCTGTGCGCCCTTCACTGGTCTCACTGTAGAACTGGCAGGTTCAAGGGTGTGATTGAAGTTTGAAATAGAATATGTTTTTGTCTCCAGTGTGTGCAGATGTCTTCAGTGAGAAATGTAAACATCACATGGGCTGTTTAACTGTTAAAGCTAACAACCAGCCTCTTCCCCAGGGCCCCAGGAGGAAATCAAGCACAAATGACAGCATTTTGTGTTTCCCCTGACATCTGTCACTTTGGTCTCCCGCCACACAAGGAGGGCACATTGTGATGGTGCTTTTTTTAGCAGTGGGGCTCTAGTACCTGCCAGTGTTTGTCCTGTCTGTACAGTAGTTCACAACCATTCATATCCTTGGGTGTTCATGGGTTTTTTTCATGGGTTTTTGCATATACTATATATACATATATATGTAGTTCAAAGTTTAACCACTCTGCCAAAGTATTTCTTGGCCTTCCTCAGTATTTAGGAAAAGCCAGCTGTATCATTGAGTACCGTCGCTTATTTTTATGCTCTCTTTTACCAACAGAAAGAAGAAGGAAAGGTCCAAGGCCAGCTGAACCACACAGACTCGAGCCAGTACATCCGCGACCTCAAAGACCAGATAGGAGAGCTAAAACATGAGGTGAGCCTTGTGAACCACTAAGCGTCAGGTTCATTAGTACTCAAATCGACTTAATTTGCAGCTTTTGTTTTCTCTTGTAGAGGTTCAGATTTTTTTGTTGCCTTTTCTTTGATCTAGCATTTGAGAAGATTTCACAACATTCTTTCAGATATGGTTTTACTTTGAGGCTAACAGATTAGTACAAGTGTTAACTACACCCAGAGACTTCCTGTGCGGAGTTTACACCTTTTGCAGATACCTTCACAGACATAGCCTACTGATGTTTCTACAAGTAGATTTTACCAAGCAGACCCCAGATAGGTAACAAAGATGGATTTACATTTCAAGGTTAAGCATTATGACTGAAGATGTAATCATAAATAGCAAGTAAAATGTGATTGGTGATACATTTTACTGACGTCAGATAATCTCACTAGCGTAGACATTCACTTTTATTCTTTGTTTAGTCCTCTCTGGATTCTTTTGTTGGATGCATGTAGTATGCAAAAAGGTCCAGTGTCATGGGTTGAACACGTGTCCTCTAATGATGACTTTTTTTAGATTAAGAAGATTAAGAACTTTATCGTTTTTGTGGAGATGTTTTTTTTAAAACTGCAGATAGGGGCCCTTGTTGTCTTCCAGCAGATCAGTTATTTGCAGGAAGAACATCATATCCTGACATCTGTCTTTTACTGAATCAAAACAAGCAAGAACACAAAAACGTGACCAGTAAGAGAGGGGGAATTGTGGTTCAGTCGAGCTGCATGCATCTTCTTCTTCTCACTCTATATCGGGGCAATGCAGTGACAGACCCGTTTCCCCTTTCACCTGGTTTTTGTGTGGTGGTCATCGTGAGTGTGTGTCTGCAGTGAGCGAACCTGAAAGTAGCAAGTGGCTCAGTAACAAGTCCCACCATCCTCCTCACTTACACTTGAGTCATATTTCTGGAAATTTTGACTACTGCCAGTCAGATGTTGATTAGATCACAATTTCCCTTTTGCATGGCATCAACAGGAAGGCAGACAGTTTAGAAAGGTGTAGGCTTATTATGATTTTGTTTACTGTGTATTGTGCTCTCAACTGGCCTCTGAATGCATCTCTTCCTACATGTCTGTCTTTTGCATGGCAGGCCGACTCAGGTGAGTTGGTACAGATGTGCAATGTAACCTCCAGTGGTTTATCCCTGACCATCGTGTAACCCCGCCACCCTAGCCCCATTTGGGTTTGTTTAATTCACAGCGTGGGAGACGGTTCTGGATGCTTCCGTAGAAATGTTTAGAGAGCGACGTGTGCTGCTCTGAGTGGGAGGTGGGGAAGTTAACCTGATGTACACCGACCAGTTAGTCCTCATCCCTGTAGTCTTTTCACTGGTAAAACCCAAACATGCTGCTAGAAAACACTAAGGAGAAGTTATCGATATCATCTTTGTATGGTTTGTCAAAGTTAGTTTTTTGAGTGTCGCTGAATTATCTCATTACTCCCCTTCGTGGCTAATGGAAGAAAAAAAACACCCACCACAACTGCAGTTCAACAGCAGTTGCAATGTGTGTTTTTGCCCCCCACAGCCACAAGGGGCAGTAAGGCTATTCCAGCTTGGTACAATAGAAAGAGGTAAAGTAGATATAGATGTACTTGAAAACTTGCTTGAACAAACCACATGCAGGTGAGATTTATGCTTCATAAGGTTTTATAAGAGAAAACACTTGGAGGATGAGGACTAACTGGTTGATTTGGCAGATATATGTTGGGTTAACTGGGTTAAAGTTTTCAATAGGACACATTCAGAACTGGCTCTCAAGCAAATGGAGCTAGGCCTCACCTATGAATATAATTATTAATAATATTTATTATACAATAGCTTGGTCCCAAATCCATGCTACATACTGATTCTATCAAAGTTGTCGTGTGTAGTTGTTCACACTGCAAAAGTGTACAGTAAGCACGACTGTACACTATTAAATATGTATGTAGTATGGAATTCAGGCACAGCTCATACCTTACTACATTGTTTTCTTTTGGTTGGTTGCCTGCATGTTAATCTATGAAAGGACTCATTGTGTTTGTGCCAATGATAGTGTTTAAAAATCACTGAGTGCCAAAGACTGGACCATTGTGTTTAACAGTTAGCATGTTACATCTGTCGGTCTTTGTTTTCACCCTCGGGAGTAACATATATTTGTTTGGCTCATTATTGCATGCAGGACTGAACAGTCTTTGCGTTGCTGCTAATACTCATCCCGCTTTCTCTCACAGATTTGCTGCTTAAAAGGACAGAGGGGCTTGGCCAATCAGCCCACTTTTGATGGGATCCACATTGTCAATCACTATGTGGGGGATGATGGCTCTTACCAGTCTTCAGATGAAGATGGAGTCAAGGACCCCACCCTCCAGGACTCCCAGCATAGGAGCCGGGGCCGTATCAGACTGCGCCCCAACCTCCAGGACACCGACAGCGAGGAGGAGGAGGACGAGGATGCCCTGCGACTCTCTGTACCTCAGAGCGGCAGCCACAAGTCCACCACCGTGTGACCAGCAGCCGCCAGAGTTGGGACAGAGGCCGTCAGCACCCGCTGAGGAAGAGGAGGTGTTTTCAGAAGTCTGTATCTAGAGTTCTGAATCTCCGAAAGGAAATGCATCATCATTTCATATCATGAGAATCACACTTAAAGATTTAGTTGATCTAGATTGTTTGTAGTTTTTGTTTTCTTCCTGAGGGCAGCCATCACTCGTCTGTCTGAGCACCACTGGCAGAAGCAGAGCATTAAATAAAGTGGAGCGTATCAAACTCTACTGGGCCACAATGACCGGAGGAGG